TTTACAAATGTCTTTATATTAAGCTTTAATAGTGTTTATCGGACAATTTAATCTCTTCAAAGGAACTCTTCCGAGTAAATAAAGAAGAAGATGAAAAAAATGTTAACTTTGATAATACGAGAAACTGTCAAATCACGTCAAAATACAATGACAACAATAAAGGAAAATAAAGGAAAAGGAATAGTATTTCCTTATTCAATTCTATAACAATTAATCTGATAATATATTAATTGAGTGATGATTCCTTGTACGTGACATGTTTTAGTGCCTTATATCGTTTAAATATCAAAAAGCAATATCACATCACACGCGACAAGGTCATCATAAGGCACGAAGCTAATAAAATAATACCACATTTGTCACTTAGAATGCGTTCCAAGACCAGCTGTCCATCTTTCTTTGCCTAACATATCATGCCAGAAGGTTAAAAGCGTTTACCCATTTGAATCATACATCGTTTTTGGACACGGGAAATTTATTAACAATAAGATTTGATTGAATTCTGTTAAATGCAATTCAATGAACACTTCAACAGTGAAAAAATACAATTTTACCTTATGAACAAAAACTTAAAGTCATTGAATAAATAAGAAGGAACATAGAATATCTATCAAAATAATGTTTTTTTGTATTCTTTGTTATTTTCTTAGTATGCATAGTTGATTATTAAACATCTCGGGGCATTTGAATGCTTAGTGAATTCAATTCATGCAAGAGTACTTACAAACAAAACATTCGACCTAAATTGTGATCAATTAATGATATGGGTAGCAAAATTAATCAACTTTACAACTTTACTGCATATTTCAAATACAAGTACATGTCTAGCTATTTAATGGAGGACACATCATGTCTCAGAAATGAATAAATTAATTTTATTTTAAACAGAAATAATGAGTTTTTCAAACATCTAAATAATTGTTTTAGAGTATATTTGGTGCACTGGAAATGACTATTTTTACTTAATAAAAATGTAAACAAAATAGGAAAAAAGAGTAATATATTTATTATCTCAAAAAAAGTCATTTTATATATATCATATAGGGGTGGTCGCTATACGTTTTCGTAATAATATCTTGTTTTTTATAATGTTTGTTATAATACACACCTAGGCAACATTTACAAATTTCAGTTTCGTAACGATTTAAGTGTTTTATGGCAGTTTTTACAAGGGTTTTGTATCTTTTACTACATACACTTGCTAAATTAAATATGATGTGAAACTCTTCCTTTCTGAGACATTTTGAGCTAACTGACCTTGTTGGTATTAATTTATACAAGTGTTGTTTAACGCTGGATTATGTTATGCCATTTGAAAAATTAAGTGGTCAAAACTTTGTATCAAATATTTAAAAATGTAGTATTGTCAATAGGTCTCTTTGTTAGTTAAACAGAACAGAACTTTGTTAGTTAAAAAAGTGAAAAGTTTATGCTTAACTTGTTATCCAAAAGGAAGTCTTAGAGTGTAATATTTCTTTTCTTATTAACTATGTGTTAGTATTTTATTATATTTTAAGTATTGAAAAGTATCTCAATAAATCCGTTTAGATTGGTTTCTGCAAGTAAATTGTATGTAATTTATCAAATATGTAAATTGTAATGTGATATGTAAAAATGAAAAACTTTTTATGGCGACTTTTTACCTTTACTGGTGAACGAAGAACTCGTGTACCATTCATCATATTTTAGGCATTCGCGGACTACAATGGAATATAGAAGTGTGTTGTCTTTGAAGATGCAGCATAAACGTTCATATGTATGTAATGAAGAGTTTAATATGTAATGTATGTACAGGTCTATTAAAAAGCAATAACTAAATATAAGGGAAATAACGCATTATAATTTTTACACTAACAGTAGATGAAGAAATAACGTTACTTAAGGAGAAAATATCTTAGGGAAGAAAATATTTTTTACGAATCGATTTTTTCGTTAAATTCCATTTGCAGCCTACTTAAATAATTAATAAATTATGTTTATAGATGTTTGGTCTTACCATTTTAAATATTCTGAATAGTTACGCATTTCCTTTGCAAAAATATGAACACAAATTACGCCTCTTAGCTTTTTTATCTCTTGAATATTACGGTCACCCTACATTTCGTGTCCCTTTCTTATAAATCAATACATATATATTATCAAAATTATCATATCATTATGTTACTTTGGAGATATTGGAGACCATTTAAGAAGATGTTTTAGATCACGTAATGATTTGAAGACTCATGCTTTACACCTTAATCTGTTCTTTAAAATAATGAGTGCTGAATTCCTAAAGTACTAAGAAACATTATCAGAATTCTCTACAAACATAAAAATCTGATGATGACGTCATGTATGTCTTAGTCTGAATCAAATAGACTATACAATTACACTCTTTATTACGCCGTATAGATCATTAGTCCATTTTTCTTTCTTTTATTATTATTAGTATAATTATTAATATTATTTTTTGTCTGACTAATAAAACATTTTTGCAAATATTATGTATAATCATAATAACACTTTTAACTTGTAGTGATTAACTATGCTTATTAATACTTCACTTTGAGTGCCACTTGATGACAATTAATTTATTGGGTACTTTGTAATTTACTGGAAAAGCATATGATATTGAGCAATTTACAAGTTATCTATTGTCTGCATGAGGTTTGCTTGATATGCCTTGAAACAACGTTGCAGGTAGAAAGAATTTATATATATTCTTTTATTTCTTGGACGCGACCTAAAGGGAGCTACACCACTGGATATATACACGGTCTTTCTTTCTTAATGTTTATATGTCGCTGGACCCTTGGGTATTATACAAAAAAGACGCAACGTTCGATTCTACACAACCATATAATCTACGAGTAGGCAGGATATTCTACGAGCTTTGATTTTTGTAAAAATATCATCCCGAGGGAAATACTGTTACCCGAGGCGATAGCTGAGGATACTATACAGTATTTTTACGAGGGAGTATATTTTCGCTGTTCCAAACCTATGGGTTATTAATTTTATTACCCTGAACAAATACTTCATTGGGACACTGTTTCTCTAAGTTCTGATTTTTTTAAATTGATCGTACACTTGAATTAATACATGTAATAGTAAAAAAATAAATTCCCTTTTACTTATTGGAAATAATAAGTATGAAAAAGTGAGGGGAAATAGAAATAAATATCTCATATGTTTGCGGGTAACATTGAAGAAAAATAACCCCTAAAAAGAAAACAGAATAACACAAGGTGATACCCGCAAACCTCTTTCATATACGTTGTTTATACCGATTTATTTTCTACGTTAGTTCTTTATCCGACTTGGAACACTTCATATTTACCTGCATAAATACAAACCTTACATTGTTCATTGTATGAATAATAACACTTAACTGTCATGATGTTTATTGTCTACTTACATAATTGCATCTTATAGTAACTTATGGTAATGTTTGTTCAATCAGCAAAGCTTTTTTATAAATTGTGCAACATAAACAGCAAAAAGACATATTTCAACAGTCATTTTGGGTTTTTATTTCTTTTGTTGTGTATTATTAAGCCTCAAAAGAAAAACAATTGCGTGTCTGTTTCTTGCTCCAAGCAGAATAAAATATTATTGTTACTTGATTGTTCTGATTTTTTTACATTACAAGAACACAAAGTGCCATTGTTAGACTCTTAATGTAATTGTTTCATAAAACATATTCTTTATATTCGCTCGATTATGATGAAAACTGCAATCTGATTTGAACCCAATTTGAGTCTATTTTCTAGAACAAATCTACACCGGTGTCTTGAGAGCTCCTTGAGCTTTATAGAGCAAACACCAAAGCAACCATGCAACCGCGCCTGTTAATGCCATTGGTAAATATAAGTGCATTGTAATTATATTCGTTGGCATTTCATATTTTATCATGAATATTCACCTTGAAATTGAATTCAATTTATTCTGAATGTGAATCTGTCCGTTAAAGTTGGTTGTACCGGTAATTTCTATATTTTTACATGTTTTTATATGTTTTTGAATATAATAACACAAAGGAAACATAACATTAATATATTTATTAATTCACACTTATACATTTATTTTATAAAACATTTCCATGACAACAAATATTGATTTATAATGGGATTCACTTTTTCAAGTTCCTACACTAAATAAACATATATACAAATGTACAAATATGATACAATAACAACAATGTATATACAAACAAAACTTAATAGTAACGAAAGATTAGTAGTAAATTATATATGCATCAACATTTACATTGCTTGATAATTGATAATTACTGGTAAGTTATCCTGGAAAACCGATTTAGTTGATCAAAATAAAAGATGCGTTAAACCCGACTCATAAAAAATCTTAATAATACCAATACTATGTACCTTACTTGCGTTCAGAACTTATCATTGAACATTGATTATGAAAAAAAAATGAATGAAACATTTTATAAGTAATACTGGATACAGCTTACAGTATGCTGTATATTCCCTAAATATCATCATACCTCTAACACAAATTCATTCCCATACCAGTTTATGAAAAGAAATTAATTTACAAAATGATCATGATAACAAAAGAAAACAGGGTAACATGTAAATTATCTCAGTTTCTAAAGCTAAACTATTGCACAACTGCCAGTGCGAATGATAACATTGAAATCGTAAATCGTCTTTCATAATTGTATGTTCAGTAGCATCATTATTCCTTTGCATTTTGAAGCATCTTAGATAAATAGAAACTCATAGAAAATGCAGCTTATGGAAGAAACCGCCATTACAATTTTATATATGTATGTACTTGCTAAATACAGAAACTTACACGATACTATATAACTGATGTTATGCCCATCCAAGTGTTAATGGTTAGTGAATGCAAGTCAAAATAACTCTACATTTTGCCACAATTGTTTTCTATTTGTACTCTGTGCAATTTTCGATAAAAAGCTGTGTGCTTTGTCGGTAACCTGCACTCTATGAAAAGTGAAGCTTTCATTATTAGTAAATTGCCATCATTAGTAAATTGCCATCATAATATCCATCACTTTTAAATTCAGTTAATTCATTTCAACTTACAAACGAAGTAACGAGCATAATGTCACTTTAACAAAATATATCAAAGGTCAATTACAAATAGGTAGGTTATATTATGAATACGAATGATGTTCATGTGTGTGTAGCATTAGTGATCTGTTGTCTACACTTTATGCAAATTCCTTCATTCTGCATACTTGAGCAATTTCCTCTTCACATCATGTTATTTACGACAATAACCCTACGAAAAGAAATTTGTAAAAGCATACTTATGAAATATGACAGTCACTTGACTAACTAATGTTATCATAAAAAGAATTCAAATCTGCATCCAAAATATGTTATACGCCAATAATCTTGATAATGATTCATACTATTTTGGTACAACCACCTTTTATTGCATGCAGGCAGGTCCTGTTCTTATGCAAAGTGTCATTTTTTCGGGAGCAGCTGCTGAGAGTAAAAGTCGTATCTAGGAAGTAATTATTATTTACTATGTACCATAGACGCAATTATAAATACAAAACAAAGTAATGAATTTTATTCTTACCTGCTACACATGCGGTAAGATAGCTTGCAACTGTCCCAGCTACAAGAAGTCTAAAGCCAAGCCTTGTTATTTCCGGTAATCTTTTCGGGATAAATGCCGTCACTAGACCAAACGTTATTCCGATTGTTGGAAGCGAAGCAAAACCACACAAAGCATACGTCACGATGATTTCTGATCTTTCCTGGTGAGCAAGATGTAACATTTTGAAAAAGACGAAGTGTTTGTTTTTTCTTATAGTGTTATATTACGTTTTCCAAAAACGCCAGGCAAAGTTTTTGAAATACGTATCAATGGAAAGATTAGCATTATTTCTTAAGCTGTTGATACTTAAAAAATACAGTTTTGTACGCAATAAAATCAAACAAATAACAAATTTTGTATCAACAAAATTATAAATTTTATATCAATAATGTATTAACAAAATTATAAATTTTGTATAATACAAAAACGCGCTTTAGATCTGAAATTTTAATACCACATTTTACATACAATGCAGTGTAAATCGTTATACACATGATAAAGCTTAACAATGATTTTATGGCGTTTTGTCATAAATGATACGCTCTTGTGAGCAATCTCAGATTTAATAATGAATGCAAACCGAGAAGATTCCTCCAACTAATGTTGTATTCCAGTTTGGTAAGAAAATGTCGTCAGATCTCTCGTATGTTAACGTGTGATTAAACATGGCCGTGTATTTATTTAAAGCCTCTTTATTTGCCATCACCCGTCCCAGATATATGTACGGAATTACAGGACTTGATAACGTACGTAGTCCCATAAACTCGCCAGCTCTAAGACAATCTTCACTATCAACGCCCATGAGGAATACAAATGGATAAAACATGTAGGATAGAATAAGCTGAAAGAAAGAATAAGATAAAATTTGAAACATAAACATACGAACAAATTTCTTGATCTTGTTTCGTAACAGCCTACGAAAGGTTTGCCGAAACAATAACTGAAGTAATTACACATTATGTTAATTAGCACACTTAATATATACGAATAAAAGTCGTTCAACAATATTAAAACGAGTAAATAATACTAACAGTTAATGAATAGTTCGTCTTTGGGATCACATGAATTCGACGAGATGCTGTTTGTATTTGAAGTTAATTTATTTATATCCTTTTGAATAAATCTTATAATTAAGATGCAATAAAATTCTAACGTCACTTTTGTACATAATGAAAGAAATAGACAGGAAGCATTTTGTTTCAGACTTCCTCATGCTATCATATCACTGAGATTTGTAAATATAAGCCTCACTTATGGACGGTAACTTGCACTTTCCAGTACCGTCCATGAACAGGCTCAATCAAACCAAGCCTGCAACATTTTCAATTATGCCGTGTTGGACTTTCTTTACGGATTCTGTATTTATCTATTTTAAGATCACATCCGTGTTATTTGTGCCGTGTGGCGGCTGTAAAAAGTCTCCCCGTACATTTAATCAATGATGTTATATTTTCGATCCTTGAAGATCGTTCAGCACGACATTATTGTTGTGCTTGTGGTATTTTTAGTTTCAACTTTTCGGCATTTTCTAGTTGGGTGGTTCCAATATTCCTACTTGAATAATGTTGAATCACCCTTAGGATATGTTGCCTGCTTTTTAAATTTGTCTTTTGACGTCTTATCTGTGATACGCAGGCTTCATAACCTCAGATCCCCTTTCAAAATTCCATTTTATTTAGTTCCGCCCATTGTTTTCTCGTTTAGGGCACACGCATTTTTTTACTTGGGGACCATATGCCGCTTTTCATGGAATGGCACTAACGTGTCACATTGAAGGTTCCATGATAACCGCCATATGAACACATCTGCGGATGTTTCAAAATTCTAAATTTTACCAGTTCATGTTAAATGTTGAATTCTGCTTAAGCCGGTGCTAGGGGGCGTGGACGTTAACTTGCACTTTCCAGTACCGTCCATGAACAGGCTCAATCAAACCGAGCCTGCAACATTTTCAATTATGCCGTGTTGGACTTTCTTTAGGGATTCTGTATTTATCTATTTTACTCAATTCAAGGTGTTTTTTCTTCATATAAAACAGTGCTAGTGCTTCTGTCTTCCCTTAAATGCCTACATATGACATAGAATAAACTTATTACACAGGCAACGTCATGTCTGTCCTACTAGATAATAAACTTACGTTCATTGTTACGTGTACGTTCACTCTGTCGCCAAACCACTGGACAGTTTGGTTGAGCAATTGAATGACAGCAAGGCTAACTATCAGCAGACCCACAATGCTTGCTGATAACTTAACACCCTGTGCTGTTCCCGTTACAAGAGCTTCTCCGACACTTCCCGGCTTTGTGTAAGTACTGCAACAAATAATGAAGAAATATAATTACATTTTGTTAAGATAAGTGTTGCGTGCTTTTTACATATTAATAATTTAACAGATTTATCGGAACTTCACTTCAGTGTTGTTACATTTTTCGGGTCCTTCGGGATCATTGATGCCAGCACTTTAAGTGTTGAGAACTGAGTACCACTCAACCGGTGCTACCGGGCGTAAGGGATTTTACACTTTTTTCATTATCCCTCATGTACAGACTCAATCAAATTAAGTCTGCAATTTTCGTGTAATTTTGTTGTGAATAATGTTTCTGAGGGAAGATTTTTGTATCGACATCATGTTGAGACAGTCAAATATGAATCAAAAATCATACAAATGTTCTCAAATGTTAACCGTGCTTTTATTTTTAAACACGAAGATGTTTATCATCAAAGCTTTGCTTCAAAGCATAAATCTATAGCAATTTATAAAGTATGCTGCCAAAATTATAATTCAAATTAATCTTCGTACACGAAAACAAAAGCTAAATGTTCACGAGTAAAACAACAAAGATAAAATAATACAACAATTAAGATATACGAGTACAGTAAATAAATGAAAACAACAATAGAAATAAATAGAGAAAAAACAGAATCCCTAAAGATTAAAGATCCCTAAACAAAACATACACTAAAATATACACGAGTACAGGACTAAAATTTACACGGATACATCAGTAAAACACTGTAGTAAAGCAATAAAAGAAATAAATGATAACAACAGTAAACTTAACGAGTGCATAAGAAAAAATAATACAACAGTAATAATACACAAGTAAAACAGTAAAATACTTTTAAGCAATTAAAAAATACATGAGTAATGATACAAACCCAGTTATTGCCTCCATTTTTCTTGAAAAAGTATTTCCGTCCTCCTTATCAAAAGATTTGTCTTCCTTTACAACCCCAGGACCAGCGTCGTTGGTGTCAGGAAAATGATTTTCTTTATGTTCTTCGTCAATAGTTGATACAGTATAAACACTTCCATTTGTCGCCGAAACAAGGGCCACTTCATGAGCTTTCTCAGTAATGTCATATTCCTCTGTATCCGGGAACACAATTTTAGCACAAGCTAATGCTGCAGGTGCCGACATGGCTGAAGCCGCTAGTAAATATTTTATGGGAACCTGTTGTTGAAAGTATTTAATGATATTAGTGCCACACATCAGTTATTTATTTTCTTCCGGCAAAATATTACTTCAGTTATGATTCTAAAATCATCAGGTGCATGAAACAGTGAATCAAACATACAGTCAAAAACTTTCATAAGCCGTTTCACTGTAAATCAATTCTGACTGGCTCCTTAAAACAAAATGTTCTCCGATTTCTCAGAATGTATCATGTCTATATTAAAGGAAATACATGTTCATCTTTTCTACAGTTTGCTATCTTGTTTGACAAATGGTTTCCGGACAATCACCATTTGCTTCTATGTTGTCTAAAAAATATATATTATTTTGCTTGAAAACTTCCAATCATAAAGGTGTGACATTAAAGTTGCCTGAAAATGTCTAACCACGTCTTATATACAAATATTTGGAAACGTGATCCTCCGGAAGCATTAAAAACAGCAAAATTGTAAGAAAATTGCCTACTCGGATTGATTGAGTTTGTACTTGAGAGATAATGAAAAAGTGTAACAACTCTCACGCCCTCTAGCACCGATTTGAGCGATACTCGGTATAACAATTATCTATATATTGAATTCTATCATTGTAATATAGTTTTACTTAGTGCTCTTTTAGTATAACTTAATGTTTTAATTGTGTATAAATGTGGACTTCTTATCCATCGTTAAGACTTTACTATGTGTCATTAATTGTTTGCTAATTCATAAGTGGCGATACATGTTTTATGTTGATTTTTTTAGAGTGCATCCAGTACATTTATTCAAATTATGCCCATTTTTTCTTATAATTCTACTTATAATGGTCATGTGTAATGTATATGTATACATTTTTGTATTGATGTTATGAATTGTTGATGGTTGAACTTACTTACAAGATGAAAGATCAAATTAAACTTATTTAACTAATCTAAAGACCACTGTGGTCTTTATGTGTTTAAGCAAAGAGGTATTATTAATTTGCTGGCACATGTAATAATCATCATTTTATCAAGCCTGTTCCCGACAATTGACTGAATATGCATTACGTATACGTTGTATGCATAACTGCTTTGCGCTATGCTATGCAATTTATAAGTTGCGTCATATATTTCGAATTAATCTTTTATGAACCGTTTTGATATCACCACACGTAGCTACGGCTTAATCTCTTTGCTTCCATGCAGATAGTAGCAACATTATTACTAATACAGACGTATGTAATGGGTAACTGCACTGAATAACTAATTAAAATAAACTGTAAATAGTACATACCCCGAAAGCCATATATTGTATAAGATTTGAACCTGCGCACGAGGCAAGGCCTCCTACACATATTGCAAATACACTAGATAGTGGCATTGTTTGTAGATACTCGTGCATAGTCGCGCCTGACTCCGCCTATATAGAAAACATGTAAAATTATTAATGTTCATTGGACATAAACGAAGAGCATGCATGTTTATTGCAAATGCTAAAGGATAATTACGCTTGTAAATAAATAAGCATTACTAAAATATCCAAAGTATAGGTGTCTTAGAATATAAAGAAATAATAAAAGGAATCATTATGACACTCTTCTACTATTTTTCTTGCTATTTGTTCTCTCTATTTGTTGTTTTTACCTGTCTATGAGGAACTTCATAATGAATATAATTATGCATTTTTGATTAAGACATTTTTAAGTTTATATTCAAGCCATGCAAAATAATATTTTTATTCTTTTGCAAAATGACTATGACTAAAGGGCGTAAAATATGGAAAGATCCAATATTCCTTTGAGGAGTAGCAAAGCAAAAAAACATTCACTATCCCACACAATGTAGTTTGGGCGTTTTTTAAATAAAATATCATGACATTGTCTAGATAAAATTTCAACACGAGCTCGTATGTAGTATTTTACTAGATGATTTATACATGCTTTGTCCGACAAAAAAACATCTAAGTAAAGTTTTTGCAATGTTTATCACGCTGCAATTTTAAACCGCTACAACGTATTGGCTTAAATTATAAACACACCGTTAACTGGTTGCAAGTTGATCCGTTGGTTGCGGGAAGAGCAATTGTACTTTTGGTAAATTTTTTATTCTGCAATCGACTGTTGCACAATATATCATAAGGAAATTATGTCTATAAAATTAGACTTAAAATGAATTTTGTGTGGGAGAGTTGCTATAAGTGGCTATTAATATATTTTGAATAATATAAGAAACAATACAATGACAAATATAATACAAGTGTCTGTAGATATTGGGCAACAAGAAATAAGGATACAATAAACTTACACCTCCTAGAAATATATTTGCAAACGCATTCATTGCTTCGGGGGCAGAAACATCGAGTATATACGCCATGGGAGTCCCAGCCAGCGTAACAATGAATTGTATTGCTCCAAGGTAGATGAGCACGTTCATCACGGCAACGAACACGATAATTGATGGGATAACCTTAAATAGAGCAACACAATTTGACCTTAGTAGTTATTAACATACCTAAATAACGTATATCTAGTGTACTAGAAAGTACTCGAAAAAAATGTCAGAGTTAAAATGTACTTTAATTAGTGTAACACAGCTGGATATCCACTCTTAGGATAAGTTGATGGTGACACCAAACTAAAGACATTTTGTTCGAATGTCTGGTCAAAGATGAATCGCATGTGGTCAAGTACCGGTCATTCTGATATAAGTGTTCTATATATTGACGTACTCAAATAATCAAAGAAGAAGTATGAGATGATGACCGCTGTCTAATTAGGTATATATAAGTCGAAATTAAGATACATGTGGCGCATATAACATTGATAAACAGTCTAGATAGTTTAAATCAATACCGCTGTGTATAGCGGACAGCTGAATAGTGATGGTTTCCAAATTCGGACATTTATCTTGAATATACTTTTGAGGATTACCAGTACATGTTTTTGTGTTTTTTCTTTTCTTTTTTTTTTTGGGGGGGGGGAGTGTAACATTGTTATAATATAATCGCTATTATGATCCATTAATGTTATTATTTTTCTTCTGAAAAGCTATCTAAGTATTTTTGTGCATTTTTTTTATTTCCAAAAGGTTACTCATTGGCCAATTACCTAAACGTTTTTTTTTTCTTCTGCTGCATTTTAACAATAAGTACTCTGCTTTATAGCAATTTGTTCTGTTACACTAATGCAGTGATTTAGTTATTTTGTATGGATTTCAAAATACTACTTTGTTTACATTTTGCTACTTTTATGACAAATAATTTCACATTTAGCACTTTTTTCTTCAGATACTTAACACCTGACTGGCTCTAAAACTATCACTTCAACGAAATAACATTTATCAGTGCCCTTTCGAAAGAAGAAAAAGAATTCATTATAGTTACAATATGATTATCTTATGGCATATGTTATTTCTTTAAATTAGTAAAAATAGAAAAGAGGGGTAATCTACTCATGGAATATATGTGTATTACTATAAGAGAGACATAAGGAATCCCTAAAGAAAGCTCAACAAGACAAAATTGAAAATGTTGCATATAAAACATATATAAAACTGATTGCGTTGATGGGATGATTTCTATATTCTATATACATACCCTCATAGCAAATTCGTGCATTGTATATGCTTTCCCAAACACGAAAGACGAGCCAACATCTGAATGTCCAATAAACTCCACCAAACGATCTGAAAACCACATCAGAGTAGTCGTACCTGAATTAAAAAAAAAACATTAACCTTTTTAAAAACAAAGGCACTGTATGTGAAACCATTCCCTAATCTATAAATAGAGTTTCCTCAGTTGAAGGTATTTTTAAGTTATAATCGGAAAATCTTTTTTATGTTTTTATTGTTGTTTACATCCTTTTGTTTTGTTGTTGTTGTGTTTGTTTGGTTATGGAGTAGTCAAAATTTAAGTAAGCATTGTTTCAATACGAAATGGTCAGTCACATAATGTCTGTCACACGTCCTTAGCAGAAGTTATCAAAACAACATCTTCGTCTTAACTATTAGGTTGACGTTAACCAAATTTCACAGGAATTATCTATGGATGACTCTCTACTAAGTATTAATAAATGATTTTAGTCTGATGCATTATAAGTTAACAAAAGCCAAACAAAACATAGAAACTCTTATGCCACAATATCTTTAAGGGGTTTTGGAGTTGGTTAAAACGTCGCATCAAAATTGTAAAGGTCATATTGCGATTCCAATACCCAGAGATTGGTATAAAGCGTCAACTTGTAGTACCCCACAATAGTCATATAACTCCTGCCCGTGGGATCACTCACTTAACATACATACAAAACAACATTTTTGTGTGAAACTTCAATGTCAAGGTGGAGCTTTACAACGGCCATATATAATATCAAAATACACGCCCCTAAGGTCAGAAAAGTATATCTCATGAAGGTCGTTCTGGGAGCATTGTGATAGAACAGTGGTGAATATCAGTGCTTATATACATGTATAATATACATGTAAGCAGCCCGGAACGTTGAGACATGTACATTGCACAATTATATCTGTAATTTAGACATCATACAAATTTTAATTTCAACATGTTTTTTTTTGTTGTTGTTTTATTTTTCATTTTACGCATTTTCTCAACAGTATTTCAGTCATATAGGCGAGTAGTTTCCTAACCTTCGTTCCTGGAGAGTTACACCAGTACTAGTCTACCTTCCTCCGTGCTAAACTACCAAAGCATCTCCCGGGGATCGAACCCACGCCAGATAGGTAACTGGATAAGAAGTCACCGACTCTAACCCCTCGACCACGGAGGCGGTATATCATTAGGCTTAATAACTTATACTGGTCGCCAATGAATAAATTGTATCAATATTCAGGCACTGTGCATGTAAAACTTAAATAACTCCCCTATACACTAGCGTGTATCATCAAGTTTTGATTAAGTTTAACATTCATGATGTAGTAATAAAACTATTGATATTGATGTGCTTAAAGATCACAACTTCAATCGCGACAAGAAAAAAGTAAATTTTAATTTAAAATTTATAAATTTTCAATCTATAAACATAATTATATCGTTGGGTTCTTAACAAGTCAAATCACTTCACGCTTCACTGTGAAGTTCTGAATCAAATATGCTTTATAATAATATGATAAAATACAAGTTTTGCAAAGATGTTTGAATTATTTTTACTGCGAATAGATTTTCTACACATGTAGTAGTAATACATGCACAAGAAATGTTGGTGAATATAATAACCAAATTCGATCAGACACGTATTTCTTTAAGATTGGACTGTTCATATAATACCACTTCGTGAGAAACTTATGTCTTTGATCGGTAAAAATAAAAATGTTTTAAATGTTTATTTTTTCTTCAAAGATAGGTCGTGAAAAAACTCTTTAAATGCACTTTAACATTAATTGTTCAGTAAGATAATAATACTTTCCAAACCCAAGGTTAACATTCCTTCTTGTATAATATCATATTACATGTTTTGAATTTTTTATCCGAGTTTATTGCTTGCCTTTTATAAGTCATTGCCCTCGATCAGTTTGATTTAGTTAAAATACGATGAAAATAACAAAACTATTTGTCCAATTAAGTATCCTTCCATTCAAAGTATGTCATAAACATCGAAATTCATTCATCTATATCTCAAATCTGTACTGACTTTTAACATGTACTCTTAAATGTAGTGGATTTTCATTGTTATGTCTTATTTGTAGTATGACCCGGGTCAATGTCCTCGGTATGTTGTAAAAGTAGAATGTCGTCACAACACAATAAACAATACTATTATATTAAATGACTGGAAAGGTTAACCCATTCTGTTATCATTTCGAAAATTAAATCTAAAATATAAAGTTTAAACACAGAGTGAAATAAAGTCGTGCATTTATAGAAATATTATATTCGATCAACGTGTTTCTTCCACATTGAGGGTTTTTTAAGTTTGTTTAACTAACAAATATTTTTTTCTGCCAGATAACTTATTCTCACTGTTAAACCCTTTATTAGTGAAACTACTTCTGTTTAATTAAAATCAGTATGCAATAAAAACGATTCATATTCAAGTTTCATTTTTACATACCAACTTTGAAATGCAGAATAAACCAGAGCAACTACAATATTATTTTTTTATTTAATTTGTTCTTACCTGCTTTAGTTTTCAGAACGAATAGCCCCAAGAGGCATTGTAGAATAGTACCATAGAAAACACAATGCCAGTTAATCTGTCAATGAAAAAATGAAAAAAATCATAATTATAAAAAGGTAATTTATCATCTTTTTTAATTTGAAAAAGTATAATTTATTTATCTTTAAATGTGTATGTTGTAAGTTGTAGTCGCATTTTTCACCGTAGCTACATATATGAACACTATAAAGCAAATCAGTTGAAAAAATATCATATGTATATCTAACGAAAATAAGCAAACAAAAGATAGAAATAACAGTGCACAAATGTAACTAAACCGGTACGACTTAAGGCTTCACTTGTTACTTGTATCATAGACACCAGTGAAAATAAGGAAGCAGTTTAAGATAAAATTTTACACTGAAAACAAAGAAAATACAAGTATACATTTTCTTTCAGCATTTTTTCTCAATATTTCATTTATAAGTAAATATTTATAATTATCTTTTATAATATTTATAATATTTCTTATATGTTACACTTTAGTTCCATGGTAAAATAGGTAGGAAATACATACCCGTCGTCTGTTATTTGAAAGAAGCACCATGAGTAGAATGTAAACAGCAATTCCACCGAGGGGAATCAGGTTCTTGGCTTCCTTCATGGCGACATTGACAACGACATAAGCGATGAACAAACAGGTCCATATGAAATACAACGACCTGAAGTGAAATGAAATAGAAAAAAAAGATTTGTAAGTACGAATATGACTGTTCTAGTTTCTTCACCTAGCAACATACCTGATTGCTCTTCAAATGGCATTATGTCCATCCAAGTTTCAATAATGGGTGTACAGATCAATGTCATGATAACTTTAGATTTGCAACAATTGCTTTCAATTTTTTTTTCATGTGTATAATAAAAAACAGAAAATTCTATAAATATCCGTAAACGTTCAATTGATAAAAAAAAGAGTGGGACAGTCATTTTATATTTTAGACAGTTGTTTATTTAATTATACTAAACATTTTCAGTAAATGGCCATTTTAATAGCCAATCTTTTTAAATTTATGTACAATTTAGGATGTAAATGTAATAAAAATAATTTTTAATACTAATATAGTGCCGAACAGAACAGCGTAGAACCATGTCACATTTTGTGTAATAAATAAACTGACTCTTCTGGCATAGGCAAGTCCCTTTTTCTACAGCTAAGACTAAAATAGTTTATGATATATGGTTTCTTTGCAAACAATAAAGGGCCACTTAACATGCTTTTGCAGGACACTCCTTAAAATACTAGTTCAAATTTTATCGTGAAATTTAAATGACAATCCGGATTATACAAATGCGTTATGATTAATGGTATAACTTATGCAAAACATTTGTTATGATGTAAATACCGGATAGACTGTTGATTTTTTTTTTTGATAAATGTGCATTACATACAGGATATTGAATGAATGTAAGTTTAATACTGAATTTATTGAACGACTTGAATAAAATTGTAATATTCGAGCCTTTGGCGAGCATGTAATTATTAAATTCAACGAGTTCGATGAATTTATTATTTTTAACTTACATGGATTAACTATTTTGGTTTATACAAATTTATTTCAGTTCGATTGTGTAGGAAGCTATAAGCTTATAAACACACTTTTGAATCCGTTCCTGGAACCAACCAGTACTAAGCAATTAGTGTAAAGTTTCTTGCTCAAGGAAACAACGACTTGCCCCTGTCAGGGTTTGAACCCATGCTGCTAGCGATCATAAGACGACTAGTCCGAAGCGTTAACCACTCGGCCATGCCGCCACTTAACTATTTTATTGATCACATACCAAAAATAAAGACCGTTTGAAGTGAAAAGCACCATTGGCGCGCTTATAGTAACGTAAGAACGCTAACTTTAAGCTCTTCTTAACATTAAAAATTACATCACATCAAAATATATGCACGGCCGTGCAATACCATTTTTACGGAGTGGTAAAAGCGGAACAGGTATGTGATAGATTTATTTATTACATTGGTTGTGAAGTGTAATCTTTTATGTTAAAGGTTTGGTTTTCCCCTTTTATGGTAGTCTAGAAATGTTCATTATAATTTATGTAACTTGTCAGTCACTTATGAGACGTTTCGCACTTTTCGACCGTAGTGCACTTAGTTGCGTATTTGCACCTTTACAGCGATTACTATTATTGTTTTGTATTTCATTGTGGTTTATTTGTTAAAGTTTGGTGACGAGATATAAAACACTTTATTACTCGTTATGCACTTCATGGTTACCGAACATGATGAATGTAAAAAGCAAGTACAATATTAAAAATGTTATCTGATTTTCAAACTACTCATACAAAAAAGCCATTTTGATATTAAAATTGATGCGGAAGCTTCTTCACGTAAATACCTTCCCAGTATATTAGAAAAATTAAATAAAAACTCTACATAAAAATAAAACTGAGAAAAAAATATAACATTTTACAACAGAAGTTTGATACAATGTCCATAAAAATAATTCCGAGAAACAAAGGTTACAAGTTCAAGATTAAAGGAATAGGCTGCTACTTCGAAGATGAAAGTATGGTCATTAAACTATAATAAGAAATGAAATAATAATGACTATGATATATGATAAAGATTATGTTCAAATGAATACAAAAAAGATCTAGACAAATATTAAATCTTTGCTTGCGACGACACAAAAACTAGCCTGTCTCACCATATAATGTCAGAACAACGCCAGACGAACGTCAGCACGACGTCATAACAACGTCAGGACGTCAGAACAACGTCATAACAACGTTATGCGTTGTTTTTTACCCAACGTCATAATTATAAAGTATGCATGCTTGAAGACTGACATTAACATTTCACAGTTCAATTGATTAAAGTGAATTGTTAAAAATCTGTATTTCCATGAATAATTCTGTATGAGGTATCATACATAACAAAAGAAACGAAAGAAGTGTACACATAACTTGATGGTAAGTGTGACATATCAGTATATTATTGTTAATAAACTGTTTTAGAACCAGATATAATAATTCAGTATATAAATGTACATACTCAATCGCATAAAGCTTTGTCCACATTTGTTAAGAAATATTTATAGAAAATCTCAGTTATACATTTTTATCGATTGTTTGTTTGTTTTGTGTGTTTAACCCACTTTGAAGCAGCAGTGGACGGAAAACCCAATTCCGAAGCAAGTCAAGTTCTGCTCATATAAGTTCTGCAGGATCAAGGTTTTTAAAAGGATGTTTAACAGAAAGAGTAAAGAGAAAGATGTTTAAAGAAGTGGATTTCTTAGCATTAATTGATATTAACATGCATTGTATACAGTAATTGAGCCAATCTCCAGAAGTATTGTAAAGTTCATAAACAAAAAGAAATTGTTTTTTTAGAGGAAGTAGTTTTGTAAAATATACAAATATGGCGATTTATAACCTTATATCCAAATTTGTCAAGATATGAAGATATTTATCTTATAACGTATGTAAACGGTGTAGAACCCTTGCTCTAAAAATAGTAAAATGCCTTCATATTTCACATAATACATTCATAATTTTACCTTGGTTGTGACTGTTTATGTGTTTGTATAATTGTTGGCTATTTAAGAATTTATTTGTCTGTACTAGAAGGGCACCGCTTTAATTAATAAATAACATAGTTACCATACTTAAAATGAAAAAAGAAACAAATGTTTTCATGTACATACCAGCGTATAATTTTTGGTCGTTTACCAACTGAATAGAAATTATACAGTTGTCGACGAAACGCTTTCCATGCCCTCGAGAAAGATTCCAAATTGTTGATAACTCTCCAAATTATGCAAATTATTCCGAAAATAGTAAACACTGTGAGTCGAATTGATGGTTCGTCTCCAAAATTACAGTACATAGCGTAGCCATAATACGCAAGGTAGAGAGCCAAAATCAAAATGTTCCTCCCTGTCTTTATTTGTTGCTTATTTTTCTCTAAGAAATTACTGATTCCTTCAGAAAACGAATCATCGCTAGCAGCGTCCGCCTTGGAAGCATTAGTAAACTCCATTACGACCCTATTGCCTTCCGTCTTTCCGTCTACAACTGGTCCGAAATCATACGATTTCATTTTAAATCACACAAACAAATTTATAGAATACTCAAACAATCCTTCCCCCACTTTACTTGCAAACTATTTAACAAAACAAATTCAAATGAAATGCTATCATGTATTACTCAATAGCTGTTGTACGTATGTATGCCCCGTTCACAGTTTATTTAATATATATCAGATATTGAATAGTGTAAAACTGACAGTCTTTGTATTGAAGAAACCAAATTCATAAAACGTAACACCACTTTTGAAACACGTGTTACGCATTCAAATTGTAAGTACTGGGTGGGTAACTGCACCAATAAAATGAAGTAGAACTGTTTTCGCAAAACGAACAACAACTGCTTTTTTATTCTTATAGTACCTATGTTCACTCGTATATTTCTCTCGCATTCACCCTTGAAGTATTTTAACCTAAAATCAACTTTGATCTACACATCAAAGATAACAATCGCAAACCATAATTGGACGAGTTTTTTATCATTATTATTTTATATTTCATTTGCGTAGTATCAAAAACAACGGTTTTTAAACAAAGGTTTTTAGTCGAACTGTATATCAAACTTTTAAGGTTAATTAATTGTTTATTGTATGATATGTTCATAGTTTAAAGTAAAAGATAAATTAAAACAAAAGTTGGAAATCTTAAGGAAAGTCCAAAATGGTAAAACTGAAAGTGTTGGTATGATTGAGCCTGTTATGGAAGTTGGTGGCAAGGAGAATGCCCATGTCCATGATCAGGCTATCATTTAAACTTGAAATGGTAAAATTGTGTATTAAAAAAAATCGGCAGATGTGTTCTATTGCACTCATCATGGGGTTTTCAATGTGACATAATGTTATTACTTAAGTTTTGTACGTTTACAACACGAGAACATTTTTCAGAAATATTTTTTTTTTCAAAAATAGACCCTACAACAGCAACAATTGATATTTATCTCGGATCGAAACGTTTGATTATGTTTTGTTGTTGTTTTTTGTTATTTTATTGTTTTGTTTTTTAAAAAGGGCGAGTGAAATTTACTTAAATTTGAAGATGACCTCAATATTGTTAAATTCATATGATTATGAATATATAATATTAATCAAGTGTGTTGGGTTACTACATTCATTATATCATTTAAATATGAAGTTAAATATCTGTGTGAGTACTAGTAAGTGTTTAAGATTTAATATAATTATGATGATATCTGTTCCAAATGTCATACGTTACTTTGGTTTCAATTGATTCAAACAAAGGAACTTTCTTTTTTTCTTCCGTTTCTTTCTTTCCTTTTTCTTTTTTTTTCTTTTTTTTTCTTTCTCCCTTTGGTTGTATTGTTTTATTTTTGTTTTGTTTTGCCCTCTTTTGATATTTTATGATAAGCTTATAAACTTTTGTTAAAAGAAAAGAACTTTTGATCTAAATATTTTATGAAGTGTTTAAAAACGAATAACCCAAACAAAACACGAAAGCACAATACAAGGTGGTCACCATTTAGATATCCGTTCAAGAAAATAATTAACAACGACAGAAGCGTTCTTTTTGAAGCAGTTGTTTGTTCATCTACTTATTTTTCTTCCTTTCATAAAAGCTGATGTTTTATCAAAACATATCAGACATTAAAATGTCCTTTATATATCTTTTATACTTTATTAACAAATTTCAAGCTTCAAACTTTTACCAAACAAAGATTGTTCGGTACAATTTGTTGTACAAAAGAAATCCTTGAGAAATACTGTGTAATAATACCTCGTTTTACATTACACGAACAGTACAATGTGAACAATAACGTTTAAGGTTGTACCTTCTTGTATTTCAAATTTTGCGATTTTATATGTTTTATTTTCTTTGTTTGTTTTTGTTTACAATTTCATAACAATTTAGTACAAAAAAGTCTTTTGCAACAGGCAAACTTAATATTATAAACTTTACTTGCCATACTTTACTTCAATTTCTAGGTATATGTTTTATAATATTGTTGTCCAGTAAAAAAAAAACCTTGAGACTTATTGCATAGTTATACGTCGACCCAAGTTGCACTTATTAATAGAATGTACTACTTATTTCTTTATTTGCACGAAACAGTATCTTCCAGTCTTCTTAGGTTGTATAATATGTTATGTACATAACAATTTAGTACTAACATGACTACTATAGCAAGCAAACTAAATATATAAAACTATTATGATACATTATTTAGGAAAATGATATCAAATTTGAGTGCGCTATTATAGAATAATGCACGTTTCGTCAAATGCAACAAAGGCCGGTAAGCTTGCTTGATTTATTATTGTAACCAACCTTTTAACAATAAACCGTACATTATGTACTACAACGCCCAAACATATGCATGTATCTATTTTCATTGGAAAGAGAATTTATACTTTATAATGAGCGTGGGAGTTTTCTAGCGACAGTTCATTTAGTATGGTTAACCATATGTATGGGTAAGAGTTCGTATTAAGACGACCGTAGGGAGTCTTATCGAACTCTTACCCATATAACTGCAAATCGGCTCTTACAACTCGATATCAGATAAAAATAAAGAAAGTGTCACCTCTTTAATTAAGCATAACATTATTTTTCCCCAGCAGTCACGTACAAACAAGGATGGGGTCCAAATACTTAATCTGGCATGTAAAACAATGAGTTTTCAACAATACCTAGGATTGTTAATGCAATTCATTCCTGTCATATGAAACAAAATAATGTTTTGCTTACTTTTGCTAGAAAATATAAACAGTCAGCAATTAATAATTAACATTTTTCTTAGAGTTAAAAGGATATCAAAAAGTTACTGTGTTCTCATTTGTCTCTGCGAGCTGAGCTCCACGTGCATTATGTATGTTATAAATTTGAATGTATCCTCACATTGCTACAGTGTTATCAGCCTTTTAAGAAACACCTGACCTGGCTAATTAAAACATGCCAATCACAATTTTCACTATCAGCACTGGTTTCTTCATGAAAAAAGCGGCTACACTAATTACTGCCGAGTTAGAGCCGATGTTACCTTTTTATCCCGTGCATATATCGCGTAATTATGCACTCGACTGCCCTGTATGCTGAAAGCGGGAATAATGTGAAGCGTGTAAAAATTTTAATTTCAACATCATTTTTGTGTCCTTCAAGTAATAACATGTTTCTGTACAATACGTTATACTATAGATATCAGATTTGCAACGTTATACCATCTTCATCTTTTGTACATTACTGTGAAGTACGGACAAACATATACTGAAATATCTGTTCAAGAGTTGTACTATACAGTAAAAACCCTCAATTAAGACCACCATCGGGACTGGTCCAAAGTGGTCTTAATTGCGGGGTGGTCTTAATTGTGAATATTCTTATTGCTTACATACTTTATGACCATGGTCTATTTTAGTCATGTTATATGAACAAACAATATGTATATTAACAATATAAAAGTATGTTATAATATATAATCTGATCTAAATATATTTCTGAGAAATTTAACATTAAATTCTATTTGGTCTGATTTGAATATTAGTTATTAAATGATAAATATAATTCACCTGTCAAATAAGAAATTAATTCTTCACAAAATAAATGTGCTGAAAGCAACATTAAACCACTCTAAAATTTACTTTCTCACCTTTTTTTCATACAATAACCCAAATAACAACAGTTGTTGACACCTTGTGAAATCAAGTGTCAAGCTTAAGAGCATTCAAGCAGATCATAACAAAATTTATGATAAGATAGGTGTTGACTTTAATATCAGTGGTCTCAATAGAGGGGTCAAATAAAGAATAAAACAATAAATTGGGCCTGAATCTGGTGGTCTTAAAAGTGGATAAGCGGGGTGGTCTTAATTCTGGATTATGTAACCATTGATATAAAGAACAGAAAATTCTGTTCTTTTAAAAAATGGTCTTAATAGCGGGGTGGTCTTAATTCCGGGGTGGTCTTAAGTAAGGATTCTACTGTACATGTATATACAAAATATATGTTAGTTTCGGACCAATTTTATCTGACTTGTGTCACTGAAATGGCAGATTTAAATACAGCATATTTACAAGATAACGAACAGTGCACATATTAACATACAAAGTCATTATCACAAAATAATTATAACTTTACAGGAGAAGGTCATAATAACAAATAATTCGAAAGAACGTAGAATAATGCAAATCTTTATTGATGTTTGTTTAAAACTCACGTACTTCATATCTGTTAATGATTGTCTGAATTACATGTTCTGTTCTGTAAATGTTTAGCTACCCAGATAAGATAATATAGTTTACCAATATTAATCTATGAAGTATTGTCACAACAAACGTAACTGAGCCGCGTCATGACAAAACTAACATAGTACGTTTGCGACCAGCATGGATCCAGACCAGCCTTAGCATCCGCGCAGTCTGATCAGGATCCATGCTGTTCGCTATCAGTTTCTCTATTTGTTATAGGGTTTGTAAGCGAACAGCATTGATCCTGATCAGACTGCGTGGATGCACAGGCTGGTCTAGATCCCTGCTGGTCGCAAACACACTATGTTGGTTTTGTCATGGCGCGGCTCAATTAATATTCAAATACAGTACATGAATCATTTAACTAATTTAGTTGAGGCAAGAGACGTAAATAAAATCACCTCAGACGAGTTTGTATTCCAAACAAACTGTTTTATTGTCTCTATTACATACCTATTATTTTTATATATCTAGTAGACCTCTTGAATACATATTTCAGTATATATCTTTGTACTTCATAGTTATGTACAAAACATAAAATGTCTATCAATTCGATGTAAAACGGGGTTGAGACTAAAGAGTAATTGTTAGAAATATCTTTTTTGCACTAATGTACATATAAATAAGTGTAATGTAGATCGGAGTGTTAAACGTTAAAAGATTTTAGGATTTTGTTGTAAAACGTTTTGTACTCAAACTTGTTATTATTCTAAATAAATGAAGCTTGAAATTTAAATTCTTACATTAACTATTTTAATGACATTTAAAGAATTTGCCGTGGTTATTTGGAATTCATACCACTGACCATTACAAGCAAAACTCAATTGTAATTATTTAAGAATAGCTTCAAGAAATATATATAGAATAAACTTTAGTACAATTCAAGTTTATTATATAGATAAGATATGACCGTTATATAAGTTGAATAAGTACATTTATATTCTTATTATAAAAAGTTTTCTAATTTTAGCCAGACTGCAGTTCATTGCAAACTCTGAAAAAAACTAATTATGTTAAATGATAATTATTGATAAAGTAAATTTTATTAAATTAATG